GGTTTGGTTTGGACTATCTAGGCAAAGGGTATAGAAGTTGCAAAAGAGAGAGAGAGAGACTTTCCAAAACTTTTGCTTCTCTAATTTTTCTAACCTTGAAAAAATGAGAGGGAGTCATCTATATATACAAATACATGAGACTATCTCGAAAATATTCATACAGACACAACTGGTGCAATGCATGCATCTGTATAGACAGCTGGCACAGCTGGCAAAAAGATCTGAAATTTTATACAAATGGGCGGCCGGCCACCAATAGTGGGCGACAGGCCACTAGGATGGTCAGGCTTGAAAAACTACTGTTTTGGTTGAAAAACTACTGTTTTGGTCCAAAAACAAGGCACAAGGCTCAAAGCTGAGGCTTTCTGTTGAGGATTTCGAGCATTTGGACAAGTGTATGCATTCATTATCGGGTGTTCAATCGGTGGTGCCCAAGGCTTAAGGGCAGTCAAAAATGGAGTGTCTACAGGTATGTTGGGATATGTTAAGGTTCCACATTCCTTCCGGCCTGTGACCGGTAAAGCGTGAGGTTCCGTGTTCCTTTCGGCTTGTGACCGGTAAAGCGTGAGGTTCCGCTTTCCTTCCAACTTGTGATCGGTAAAGCGTGAGGTTCCGTATTCCTTCTGGCTTGTGACTGGTAAAGCATGTGACTCATGGAGATGACTTGTTAATGGATCCGATGTTAGATATGACATTATTTGAAAGAATGGAAAATGAAATGGTAAGCGGATTAGAGGTTGGTGATGATGAACTCACTAGATTGCTTGTGACTATATGGGAAGATTATGAGTTTTGTTTTGTAAATAATTGAGAAATTGAATTAAGAAGGGTTTGTTATTCTTGTGTTATGCTTGAACTCTAATTGATAATGTAAACGTTAATGTGATGTAATCATTAGACAAGGGGAAGTTAAGTGTATGGGGATCGTCTTTTTGAATATAAAGGAAATTTGGATTTTAGTGTTATGTAGTTGTAATAATTGGAAATAGTATAAGGGAAAAACGGAAATGAAATGAGGAATAATTTGGAAGCGGGTTAATAAATTTAAGATAATGTTCTTTCTTAAGTGTACTTATTTTCAAAGAGAATTTATGGCTTCCTAACGTTGAGAGACAACATTTATGGTAGGAAGTTTTCTTAAATGTTCAAATGAAATTTTAAGAAAAAGATACTCTACGTACAATATTTTGAACATACAAAACATCACTTTAATATATGGTATCACCCTGCATGGATGATCATTTCTATCTATAGAATGATTATTGTTTTAGAACTATGAGATTCCTACTGGGCAATTGTGCTCACCCCTCGTTGTTTCATTTTTTTTACAGGAAGAGAATTCGGATTGATTGGTTGGAGAGTTAACAAGTTCATGTATCTTTTATATATAATTTCATGGTAGATGTGAAAGAATTGAATCATGTATATTAACGTTTGTAATTATTTATTCGTAACTCCGTAGCGGAAAGCTTGGCATGTATTATTATTTTTGTATTCATTATGAGAGAAAACATGTATTATTATGTTTCTATTACTCAAGGGTAATATATATTTATAAAAAGAAAAAAAGAAAAAAAAAAATAATGGACCTAAATTAAAGGCTTTTGGTAATGATTCCGAGTAATTAAAAATTTGGGGCGTGACACTTAGTAAGTTTTGGGCAAATGTACAATTTCAAATTGTGAGTGTTACGCTTGAAAAAAGTACACTTATGAGTTTTTTTAGTATTTTTGTGTGTTATATTGGAGTATGTTATATTGGAGTGTCACATTTGAGATTACACTGATTGGAATGTTACGTTTGGAAAAAGTACACTAAGGTTTTTTTTTGGTGTTACGTTAGAGTGTTACATTTGGAAAAAGTACACCAAAAAGTTTTTTTTGGGTGTTACGTTGTTACGTTTGTCAAAAGTACACTAAGGAGTTTTTTAGGGTGTTATATTGAAATGTTACATTATTGGAGTGTTACATTATAGGGTTAGGTTTTTGTTTATAATGTGGGATTTGTTCTAGAATGAGGGAAGATCCAATATTTTTATAATGCAAATTGCCAATATATAATTTTACATTTTGAGAAACCTACTTTTATCACTAAAAAATCAAATTCAAACATGAAAGTGATTTTCCTTTTATGTAATTTCCATTTTAATAGGACCTTTGGGTTCATAAGAAAAAATGGAGGATTAAACAGTTCATAAGATCACATTTTGGGACTTATTGGTGCTTCACCCCTTCTTTTATAGCCATGGAAAAAAATATAGCCGTTGGAGGGATTCTAGGTAGGCTCCTCTTTCCTTTTATTTTTCTTCCATTTGAATTCATTAGCCATTTGGACTTGCATCATTCTGGCCAAGAAACACTTCAAATCAATCAAAGGAAGAAAATGAATAAGAAAAGATATGGAAAGAATTTGAATTGCTTTTTTTTTTATTATTATTATATTAAATTAAAGTATTCAAAAGATGCACAATAAGTTTAGTTATTTTTAAATCAGTGCAATCTATATCAAAAAGACAAATTTTATTTTCATATTTTGTGTCAAATGATTGTAAAAAATGTATATTAAAAAAATCACAATTTATCTCATAATATTTTAAACATCATTAAAATCAAACCATAGGATTAACAAAAATATTAATAAACAAGCTTAAACATACTAAAGTTCGGGTCGTTAGTTGGGCTCTTTTAACCTTTATTTAAATAATAGAATGAATATTTTATTTATATATTAAATAATACAAAAATATGTATAAAAATAGGATCAATATGTTATTTATATATTGAAATAATGTAAATGTAAATAATAGTTAAATTTATTTATATGTAAATAATAGCTAATTATAGATAATACATTTGTATAATAGTGGTGGGAGATATTATTATTTTGGTAAGATATTAATTTTTTTTTAGTATGTTTATATATATTGTATATATAATTATATAATCAAAATTTTAATTGTAATTTTAGTCTCATACGTGAGTATGAATTTATAATTTTTTTGGCTCGTTAAGGCTCATGAATAAGCTCGAGCTCGAGTCAAGCCTAAGCCAACTTGGCTCGAGCTCGAGTTTGGTTCGTTAAATTTTTATTGAACTCGAACTCGAGCTCAAACTTGTTAAAATCTTAATAAACAAGCTCAAGCATACTAAAGTTTGGCTCGGTTTGTTTGCAACCCTGAAAATTCGTATTCTCAAATCAAAGTCTTCTATCTTAGGATGTACATATTGTTTGAAACTCTTTAGCTTGCAGCATATTATTATTTACACTTCCACTACAAAAATTAAGGGTTTAGAGACTAAAATTTAGGAATAAAATTATTTTTTAGGGAAAAAATAATTTTGTTGCCAAAAGTATCGTTATTATATTTTTAGCAATGAAAATTGGACATTAGTGATGAATTATTATTTTTTTGGAACCAAATTTTTGGTCTAAAAAAAATAAACCATTTTGAGACCAAATTATTTTGTCCCTAAAGTGTATTTATTAGTGACATTTTCAAAATTTTGTCACTAAAAACCTTATTTTTGACTTTTCGAGACGACCTTCTAGCGACTATCCTCACGACAATAGAAATTGATCTCTAAATGTCTTTTACAACAAAATTTTCATTTTTAGAGACTAAAAAATTTGGTCTTTAAAACTCTTATATGTTGTAGTGTTCGCACAGTTTAAATTCAATAAAGAATTAGGGTCTTTAAGTTTTGATGCCAAACTGATGTAGGATAATTGTAGGAACCTTGGAGTATTGCTGCCTACTATAGAAATTGTAGTGGTTTTTGGTTGTAGAAAGCTTTTAGGGTGGTTTCTAGTATTTAGAGATGAAAATGTGTGATATTTGGTTTGCTTTTAAAAGAAGCAATTTTTTTTTTTTTTGGATTTTCTTAGAATAGAAGCTATTAAGAGCCTGAACAGTAATCTAGTGTTTTAATGGCTAAGTTGAAAGCCAATATGTAGGAGAATGGATTAGGATTGATTTGTGCATAATTGGATAGAGGGTTTTGGGGCTTCGGAATGCACTTTTTGAGAGCTATATGAAGAGTGACCCGAGAATAGTACTTGGGTTATTCATGAAAAGAAGAGAAGAAAAAGAGGAAGAGAAGGAAAGAAGTGTTCCACTCTCGCAAGGGTTTGGCAAATTCACACAAACATAATCTCAAATTGTGATAACTCAAATCTCTGTTGAAAGAAAAAAAAGAAAGATTACATGCATATTTATTTATAAATTAATAGACTTTTAATATTCCTACAAGGACTATGTGATGTAGAACCAAGAAGAAAAAATGTTGAAGAAGGAAGAATGGAGAAGATCTCAAATCGAATATCTCAATAATCAATATTCATCAAAGTTTTAATTTTAAACATTACATAAAAGCCATATATTTAGGCATCCTTGGAAACCATACTCATAATTATTAAATTAAAGTTGTCAAAAATAAAACACTACAATAATTATTATTATTTTTATTATAAAACAATAGAACCTAATAAAGTAATAAAATTCAATAAATATAAAACAATTTGAAAATAAATCATTAAATATTTTTTTATCCAATAACTTTCCGATCCCCATCATTCTATAATTAGAAGTTAAGAAAATTTTAGACATAATAAAGACTCAATAGCATAATTTGACCTAGAATAAAACCTATGGGCAGGGTCTACAACCCATGACCAACAAATTATAAAATCATCAAAATACCCTTAACTAATAAAGACTAATATAATGACATAAATCTGTCTAGTAGCTTACTAAATTAAAATAAACACATATAAGACTTAAAAGCATTCCAAAACGTCATTCCATGATGCCTTAAACGTGCACCGTGTGGAATTCCAGATTTGCCATTTTTTCTTATTTCCATGCTACTCTTTACATATGTGATGTTATATATTATTAAGGTAAATATCGAGGTCCTAAGCCTCTAGAGGCCACGGTCTGTGCGTAGGTCTTGGTGTTGTGTGGACAATAATTGTTTAGGATTGACTGGAATACAAAAGATATGTTTGACTTTGATATGCAACTACTCTGTACTGTGTTTCCTTTTACGGTTATTAGTGTACGATCAACGTTCTCTTTATGGCTGAGATATGTAGGATTTAGAGCATGATAAAACATAGCTGACCCCTTTGAGTTGCTAATAATTAGCAATTTAGTATCTCATATTCTATCTAAATTGCAGGTACCAACCACCTATTCCAGTTGATCAAGTAAAACCAAGGAATGAATATGACTATGAAGGAGGTAAAATAATATTATATAATTTTTTATTTCTATTTCCTTGAAAAATGTTTGTAATTAGGTTGTTCTTATGTCGAATTAGAGGGTCCTAATATGCGTGGGAGGGGACGTGGTGATCGAGGAAGGAGTAGAGGCCGAGGCAGAGGTAACATAGCCTGTGTATTCTACCAGTTTTGCTTTGGGAAATAATGTTTATCGTTAAAGTGACTTTGTTCTTCTTTCCCACCTTATCTGTGCTGACTTTTACATGTGCTACAATCAAAAGATGAACAAAAAAAGAGTTTTATCATGAACTATTAAATTCTTTTAAAGCCCGTACTTTCATTATGAATTATTAAATTTTTTAAGAGCAATGCTAGGTATCATGAAAAAACTTTCATGAAAATGATCATGAAAAATTTATGATATTTGGATTACACTTAAAATAAAGCACTACACACTAATCAAGGTAATCCAAGGGTCATAAATTTTTCATGACCAGTTTCATGAAAATTTTTTCATGATCCCTATCTTTTCTCATTTTTTAACCACACACTAACACACCTTACGTATTTACTCACACCTAAACTTATATAATACACTAGACCCACTCTAAAAGACCACTCAACACTGACATCACTTTTACACAACACTCAGCACACTTATTTGTGGCTTCCTTACACACTGTTAATGTAAATTGAAAATTGTAAACATACCTACACTCCACCTACCACCTCCACTTCACCTACTCCACCTACCACCTACTACCACCTACTCTTCTATATATATAGGAATCCTTGTAACATTCAAATATCTATCAATAACATCTCATTTATTCACTTGCTCTTTCTCTTTCTGTATACATAAACTCTTACATGGTATCAGAGCTAGGTTAAGAACCTAGTAATTTCGTTCCACCGGCGGGCGGCAATCTTACCTTGACCGCCCGCCGGACAAACCCAAATTTCCTTAATTTCTTCTTTCATGGCAGATTCTTCAACAACTCACCATAATGGATTCATTCACCAAATTTTAACAGCCAAAGCAAACAGAGAGATTCAAATTTCAATCATGGAAGTCCCTTCTAGGCTTGTGTTCCTCTTGGTCTCTCTTCTGAGTCTAGTCTTCTCACTTTCTGACTCTGCAACAGTAGTAGTAGATGGAGTTTCAGAATGGAAAAACCCAACTGTTCATATTGGGGATTCTATCATTTTCAAGCACAAGTATGATTACAAGCTTTACATTTTTCAGAACAGAGGAGCCTTCAATCTCTGCAACTTTACTCAAGCTTCACTTCTTACCAAACCCAATTCCAACTCCTTCACTTGGCATCCATCAAGAACTGGTATCTTCTACTTCTCCTTCAACAATGGCACTCTCAAATCATGTCAATCAGCTCAAAAGCTCGCCATAACAGTATCTCTATCACCACCACAAAACTCCGCCACCTCACCGGAACTATCTCCGGCAGCCTCTCCAGCACCGAGTTCAGGCGGCATTGTATCATCATCTCCAGCATACCCATGGCCATTCCTTCAGATCTATTTGGTGAGTAGATATAGCTGTTGTGGCCAACCACATCACAGCCCATTGCTGCCACTCCAGGCGCCATCGTCGTCACCGAAGACCCACGCCACCTTACACACCATCGGCGGCTACAACTGTGGCTACCATTGATGCCGCAACAGCTTCGGCAGCCATGCCTCCACTTTTCACTCATCTCCGCCATTCCCATTGCCTCGCCAAAGCCACCGATCCTCACGACCACCATCATGGAAGCAGCAGCAGCTCATCTTCACTCATAGTCTCCGCTCCGCCGTACACGGCTGAAACTAACGCAGATCTACTCTCCCTCTCTCCAGGCTCTTTCACTCTGTAGCTTTGAGCTTTGAAACATGGGATGGCTTGAGTGCTCTCCTTTTTATTCTCTTTATTCCCACTTCCTGCCCCTCTCCAATAAAATAATTCTCCACTACCTCCTCCATATATCAAACCCAGTTCCACCAGCACCAAACCACCAAACATGCTCATATGCATACCCAGCTCTCTCTCTAACAGAGCTCTCTCACTCTCTCGGCACCTCTCTCTCTCGGACTTCCTCTATTTTATTTTTTATTCATCACCATATCCTCCACCACCTCCCTTTCTTTTTTTTTTTTTCTAAACAATATTTTTGAACAAACAAACCAACAAACCATGTGCTGGTTTTACCCAAATCAATGGGCCACCCTACACCCAAATCAATGACTCTTTCATATTTTATTAATCTAATGGCTGGCACCATCATGGGTTGTTTTGAACAAAACCGTGCGCCCTATTATCACTTTATTTTATTTTATCTTCCTTTTTTCATTAAAAAAAAAAAAAAAAAAAAAACATCATTCCTTTTCTCTCTCGAGATTTCCTTATTTTAACACTCCGTTGGTGAGCTTTTCCAGATTCCTATTCCCACTACCTTCTTTTTATTTTCTTTTATTTTTTTTATCTTTCTTTTTTCGTCAATATTTCATTATTATACATCTCAGTTGGTGAGCATTATCCCTTTTTCCATTATTTTCTTATTATTATTCTTTTTCCACCACCAAAAAAAGAAAAAAAAAAAAAAAAAAAAAAAAAAAAATCCTTTTTTTTCAACCCAAAAAAGGTTTAAAAAAAAAAAAAAAAAAAAAAAAAAAAAAAAAACAACAATCCCTTTTTTTCAACCTCAAATAGGTTTCTATCTTCACACCTATTTGAGTTTGAGGGGGGGTTATACATATATCATGGTGAGCATGGTCATGCGAACCACTCAAGCTGGTGAGCATGGTTATACACCATGGGAACCACTCACGCCACCTCATGGCGCACTCCCTAAGTCGCCCCTTGGTGCACCACCACAATCTGCTACAACGGTTCGGCATGACCCCGTAAACTGTCCTGACATTGATTCCGGTCAGCTTATACATCGGTCCGACATGACCCCGTAAACTGTCTTCTATAACGGTCCGACATGACCCCGTAAACTGTCTTCTACATCGGTCCGACATGACCCCATAAACTGTCTTCTACATCGGTCTGACACGACCACACAGTGTCTGCTACATCGGTCCGGCATGACCTCGTAAACTGTCCTGCTACATCGGTCCGGCATGACCTCGTCAACTGTCCTGCTACAACGGTCCGACATGACCCCATAAACTGTCTTCTACAACGGTCCGACACAACCATACAGTGTCTCCTATCCACTTTTATTTATCAGTTTATTTTTCTGTTTTGTTACTTTTTCCAAACTCAAGTTGGCTAGTACCTATCCTCCTTGAGTTTGAGGGGGGCTGTTAATGTAAATTGAAAATTGTAAACATACCTACACTCCACCTACCACCTCCACTTCACCTACTCCACCTACCACCTACTACCACCTACTCTTCTATATATATAGGAATCATTGTAACATTCAAATATCTATCAATAACATCTCATTTATTCACTTGCTCTTTCTCTTTCTGTATACATAAACTCTTACACACACAATACTTTTAGGACACCTCATGCTAGATCACTCTTGTATTGCATGATGCTCAATACAAGGGCTATTCCCATATTTACACTAGTTCAAGACTGTTAAGAAGTTTCTAGGAGCAAACCTCATCTACAAATTGAGTTAGGTAAAATTAGTAGCTGGTAAACAGTGTAGTTTGAGTTGGTAAGGTGAGTGATGAGGAATTTAATGGTGAGTGATGGGAGGACTACATTGAAGCAATGGTTGATGTCTGAGGACTTGTTGCAATTAGAAGACGAGGAACCAAAATGAAATTTAAATGAAAGTTGGGTGAAAAGTGTAATTTACCCTTAATTTGATATTCATAAAAATCCATAAGCTTATACACTTCGCTAAAAAGGGCTTCCATGGTGTAGCACTTTGTACATGTGGCACAATTAAACGGCTAAATCTATATTGCTATCAAATGTGTAAGATTTATTGGTTAACTAATAAGGCACTTGATCTATCAAATTGGTCAAATTTTTATTGAGATCAAATGTACAAGAAGCTTTGAAGTCAAGTTTTAGTGTAGTTGATCTATGAAGTGGGGTCTTACCAGATCCTATCATGAAGTGGGGGATCCATGCATTGGAAGACTTTCTTGTTTCTAAGAGTACATTTGGTTTAATATTTTTGCTTTTATCTACCAAAGTCGCACAATTTACTGTCTGCAGCAGATACAGTTGGTAACAGTAGTTTCCTTGTTTTTTAAGTTCCTGTTCATGCTCTTCCTGTGTCTCTAATTGAATGATTAAAAGCATTCTCTTGTTCTCTCTATTCTAGATCAACCAATATTGCTTGAAACAGTTCAAGCTAGAATGTGTATTCACATTGGCTGGAGGAATTGGGTTTTGAAGATATTATATAGCTGAGGAAGTTTCCCATTAAAGTGGATAATGTTTAGTTGAGAAGCACCTGTGTTGAACCACCAACAGATTAATTTTCTGTACCCTTGATCATCTGATGTAGTTCTGTTTTTGCTAATATTGCTTTATATACTTGCACCCTCTATTTTGACGCCTCAAAAGATATATAAGTTATGATGTATCTTCTACAACAGGTAATGGTAACAATGGAGTGGTAGAGTACAATGGAGATGGTGGTTGGGATGGTGGATGTGGGTATGGAGCAAGAGGTCACGGTTCGGGAAGAGGCCGTGGTTTTCGTGGACACGGAAGAGGATATGGTGGTGGAGATATGCAACAAGAGTTGGGTGGTTACAATGGCTATGGTGGATCAGGGCCACCACCTGCCCAAGGCCATGGTAAGCATGTTAATAACAAAATGCCTAATTAGCAATTGCAGACGTGAGAAATTTAATACTCACGCACAAGTGACAATTGTTATTGGTCTTTCCTAAGCTTCTTGTGGGTGGAATATGTCCTCCATGCCGCGGCTGGAGTTAATTGCATACTATTTTCTGAGCTTTGTGGATTCAATATATTTTTCCCCATTCTTAGATATGTTGATAAGACTATCTTTCTTGAAAGGGTCCTACCAACGGCCACCCGATGGTGTTAAGAACCAAATAATGTCAAAAAAGTTAGAATTTCATTACACATTTAACATATTCTCATACACTTTTATATTTTTGCATACACTTTTTACATATTTTAATTTAATACACTTTTTATACACATACCAACATTAATCACTGCCCATTAGGCAGTAGTTAGCATCTTCCTTCTTGAAAACCATTTTAATTAAAAAAAGAAGAAGAGAGAAACAAATAAAAATGGAAATTTCTGCAAAAATTGTATCTGGTGCTTCATACATTGTTTCCTCTCCCCTCACCTCACCTCAGCTCCCTTCTTTCTTCTCATTTTCTGTGGTGGGTGGCTGTGTATGTGGTGGTGGTAGTGAAGGGATAATGCCATATCTTCTCTTTTTCCTCCCACCAGTTTCATCATCCTTGTCTTTCAATATACAATTAAATGGGGGTGTGCCATGCTTTCCAATCTAATTGACCACCTGTCAGAAACTTTCCTAATTGTTTGAGGATGAATGAAGTTCAATACCTGGAAAAGAAGATTAAAAGATGATTTCATTTCATGCTTACCATTATTATCATCTGGCATTGGCCTTTTTGTTTCGTTGTACTAACTAATCTTGCAGTGGTGGCTAAATCAACTATTCATCTTGTTGGATACTGCAAAATCTTGCTGGACTCATATGGATATACAAAATTATCAAAATTCATTCAGATTTTGTTAATTTTTCCTAGCATAGTATTTTATATTTCAGTTTTTGAATGAAAATCTATATGGATCGTTGCAGGGCGTGGCCGTGGGCAGTGGCGGAGCCACGTGGGGATTAGGGGGGTCACGTGCCCCCCTAGATTTTTCCTTTTTTTTTTTAAAAAAAAAAAAAAAAACAGATATATATATAAATAAAATTTTAAACAAAAGGTCTCCCTTGAAACTTTTGTTAAAGCGTGTGGTGACATTTTTGAAGCAAAGTCTGTTCGTCTAGCATCACTCTTGACCTTCAAAGGGAGGTTTTGGTCCCTTGAAACTTTGTTGTATGTATCTTTGAAAGATGAATGCTCGTCCTATATTAATGTCTCCAACCTTCGAGGGGTGATTTTGATCCTTCGAAGCTTTGCCGCAAGACCTTCGAATGATGAATTTCATCATTTATAAACACTTTGACCATAAGGGTGATTTTTGGTCCTCTATACCACCTTCGAAGCTTGTTACTAGTCCATAATAGTTAGCATGTGCAACATCTTGTTAAGGTTAATCATGTTTGGATTGGCTTTGCCTTGAAAATATGTGGTTCTGAATGATTCTAAGTGTAAGCAACATCAACCTACTTCAAAAGGTTCTAAGTTTTCAAAGTGTTTGAAGTTTGAGTAAAACAAAATTATTTAATTTCTTTCAAAGGATTGATGCCAATTCGAAACACATATATAATATCCCTTCAAGGCATATATATATATTGTGATAACCCCACCATGTAATACACTTATATTTATTTAATTTTGAATGCTAATTATGTGTTTGGTGTGTAATTTGTATATATCTGTTCATTTGGTGAATTATGCGTTATGATTTCTATTTTGAATTTGAAATTGAAAGTCTTAACGACTTCAAAAACCGAAATTGATGAGTCTAATTAGGTTATCATAATTTTTAGAACCTTTTGAGAAATTTGA